CAAGCCAGCTCTTAACCAATGCACCACTTGGCCGGCCCTCAATTTCTTGACATGAGTGGTGGTTACATGTATGTTCACTTTGTGATCAATCATTCTGCTATATAGTTATATTTTGTATACTTTTCTGCATGTTATATTGCACAAATAAGATTTAGAAAAAAATAATTGTCCAAGAGTAGCAAATCAATTTTAAAGATAACAAGAAGGGAATATTATTATAAACTGTTAGTAGTTAAAAGGATTGGTATTGTGATGGAGAGATCCAAGATGGTGGAGTAGATAAACACTATGCCTGCTTCCTTCCATGAACACATTAAAATTACAGCTAAATTATAGAACAATCAACCTGGAGAACCATCTAAATTATGGCTGAACAGACGTTTTATAACTAAGGATTTGGAGTGGCTGGTTAGATCAGTTGGTTAGAGCGCAGTGCTCACAACACATTGCCAGTTCGATCCCCACATGGGCCACTGAGCTCCACTCTCCACAACTAGGATGAAACAACTACCTGACTTGGAGCTGATGGGTCCTGGAAAAACACTGTTCCCAACATTATTTTTATTTCTAAAAATAAATAAATAAAGATTTAAGAAGCCATGTCAAGACTGGTAAAAAGGGCAGAGACGCAAAATGGCTGACCCCAAATTTCCGTATGGCAGTTGAGAACCAGGAGGGACATCTCGGCCACAGAGGTTCCCCCAGGAGGAATGAGATACCCCAGCCCCACACCAGTCTCCTCAGCCAAGAGTGCTGGTACCGGAAAGAAAGGAATCCCCTCAGCTGGCTGAGAAAAACAGTGGGATTCCCACCAACCGGGATGGAGGACTTAGGAAAACCCAGATGTCCTCTTAACACAGCCCCCACACAGACTCTTTCACTCCCAGGCACTCACTTTTGGCTCCAGCGGAGGGACAGTAACATGTGAGGCATCAGAGGCATACAGGGACCCGACTGAGGTGTGTAGCTTCAGAGCAAGGGCTGGAGGACAGTCACCATTTTCCCTGTGAGGGGGCCTTTTCCCATGCAGCCAGCAGGCAGCTGCTGTCTTAAATGTGTTTAGCCCTTCCCCTACACTTATGGCCAAATCTGAATCTGGTTGGTCTGTTGTGCTCCGCTCACTCCACCCTGCTGACTCACTGGGACCCCATCCCACTGAACTCGCCAAACACAGAAAGCATTTTCTCCATTGGCAGCCAGCCCTGCCCACATTGCACCCTTTCTTGGAAAACTATCAGAATCCACAGGCCCCCGGCAGGTGGCAGCTGGTTCCAGTGTGCTCTGAGACTTTTGCTGAGTAGCTCCAGGCTCTGCACTGGCACCAAACCAGAGTCTACAGTTCTCCCCATTCTAGTGACTCCCTGAGACCCTGCCACACAACTAGTGTACTGACATGAGACTTTATCAGTGGTTGAACCTTGAGGGAGTTGGCAGGTGGCAGCAGGCCTCTGGGTGTCCTGACTTTTTGTGGAGTTGCCCCAGGCCCAGAACTGGTGGCAGACATCCTCACTTCATAGTGTGGCCTCTCACATGTGCCTCCAGGTTTAGCACAGGCAGCGAGCAACCTTGGATTTCTTTGTAGCTCCTACCAGGTGTTCCTCAGCTGGTCACAGGCAGTGGGTGACCTGGGCCTGTACCAGAGCCCCTCCCAAGAGGCCCTGGAACCAACATATTTGGAGGTTGGCATAAGACCACAGCAGAGCACTGCCCAATTAGCCCCACAAGAAGTGCCTGTAAAGGGAGGTCTCAACAGTCACCAGAGCCCTCTGGGGTGAATCCCACTCAGTGGGGCAAGCCTCATGCACAGCAGCCTGTAAGCTGTGAACATGGCCAAACCCCAAGCCAATCAACCCGAGGGTGAATCCCACCTACTGACATGACAATAGCCATCAAGACTCAATTCTAACAAGAGGGCACACGTAACCTACACAAGGGACATTCCTGAAGCACCCAGAGCAGGTGACTAGGGAGACTGTGTCGGAGCCCCACAGGGCACCAACTACATAAGGCCGCCTGGCCAAGACTGGGAGACATAGAAGATTTACCTCCTACATAGAAACAAATATAAAGGCAGCCAAAATGAGGACACAAAGAAATACATCCCAAATGAAAAAACAGCAGAAAACTCCAGAAAAAGAACTAAATGTAATGGAGGCAAACAACCAACCAGATACATAGTTCAAAACAATGGTAATAAAGATGCTCAAGGAACTTATAAAGAACTTCAACAAAGAGATGGCAAGCATAAAAAAGGACATAGAAACCATAAAAAGGAACCAGTCAGAATTGAAGAATACAATAACTGAAATGAAGAATTCACTAGAAGGAATCACCAGCAAACTAAATGAAGCAGAAGATCGAATCCTTGTTTTGGAAGACAAGGTAGCAGAAAACACCCAATCAGAACAGCAAAAAGAAAAAAAAATCCAAAAAAAAAATGAGGATAGTTTAAGAAAACTCTGGGACATCAAGAGTAACAACATTCACATCATAGGGGTACTAGAAGGAAAAGAGAGAAAGCAAGGGACTGAGAACCTATTTGAAGAAATAATGATTGAAAATGGTGAAGGAACTAGACATACAAGTCCAGGAATCACAGAGTCCCACACAAGATGAACCCAAACAGGCCCAAACCAAGACACATAATTAGAATTGCAAAGGTTAAAGACAAAGAGGGAATCCTAAAAGCAGCAAGAGAAAGGCAACTAGTAACTTATAAGGGAGTTCCCATAAGATTGTCAGCTGATTTCACAACAGAAACTTTGCAGGCCAGAACAGATTGGCACAAAATATTCCATGTGATGGAATGCAAGGACCTACAACCAAGATTACTCCACCCAGCAAAATTATCATTTAGAATTGAAGGACAGATAAAGAGTTTCCCAGATAAGAAAAAGCTAAAGGAGCTCATGACCACCAAACTAATATTACAAGGAATCTTAGAGGGGCTTCTTCAAGATGGAAAAAAAAGAGATTAAAATTATGAATAATAATATGGCAATAGCTCCATGTCTATTAAAAATTACTTTCAATGTAAATGGATTAAATGCTCCACTCAAAAGACATATGAGGGCCGAATGAATAAGAAAACAAAACCCTTACATATGCTGCCTACAATCACTTCAGATTGAAAGACACACACAGATGGAAATTAAAGGAACGGAAAAAGATATTTCATGAAAATGGAAACAAACAAACAAATAAAAAGCTGACACCAGACAAAACAGACTCTAAAACAAGGCTATAACAAGAGACAAAGAAAGACCCAGTAATTCCACTTCAGGGTATTTATCTAAAGAAACCCAAAATGCCACTTTGAGGGGTCATGTGCATCTGTATGTTCATTGCCACATTATTTACAATGGCCAAGATGTGGAGACAGCCTGGGTGTCTGTCAATGGAAGAATGGATAAAGAAGATGTGGTACATACATACAATGGAATATTGCTCTGCCATGGAAGGGAATGGGTTCTTGCCATCTGTGGCAGCATGGGTGGATCTGGAGAGGGTTGTGCTGAGTGGAGTAAATCAGACAGAGAAAGACAGATGCAATATGATTTCACTTATATGTGGAATCTAAAGAACAAAATAAACAAATAAAACAGAAACAAACTCATAGATACAGAGAACATATTGATGGCTGCCAGATTGGAGGGGTTTGGGGGTAAGTGAAAAAGGAGAAAGAATTAAGAAGTACAAATGGGTTGTTACACAGTAATCATGGGGATGTAGGATATAACATAAGCAATATAGTTAACAATATTATAATAACTATTTATGGTGTCAGATGGGTACTAGATTTGTTGGGGTGATAGGCAGGAGGGGGTTGGGGCAGGCTTAAAAATGTGAAGGGATTAAGTACAAACTGGTAGTTATGGGAATGTAAAGCAAAGCACAGGGAATACAGTCAATAATATGGTAATAACTATGTATAGTGCCAGGTGAGTACTAGACTAGTCAGGGGGATCATTTCTTAAATCATATAAATGTCTAACCACTATGCTGTACAAATGTATGTACAAATGTATGTACATTTGAAATTAATGTAAAATAATATTGAATGCCAAATATAATTGAACAATTTTAAAAGGGGATAAAAGGTGAAGGGGAATTTTTTTTAAAAAGAGGATTGGTATGGTGAAGATAGGCAAATAAATAAATGTGTAAGAATAACCCCACCCCAAGCCCAAAAAACCCACAAATCTAGAATATCTTGATATATAATAGAGGTGTCATTATAATCACTGGAGAACAAGCTTAGAGGGAAGCATCCAAGGATGGAATCTTGGGAAAGCCAAGAAGAAGCGATCTTGTAAGACTTTCTTTTAAACATTAAACTGGTTGAAAAGTAAAACGTGGCTCTGCACTGCGGAGTTCACTGCGATGGGGTGGGGACGACTTCAGGTGTGTTGGCGCTTCAAGCCGCTAGGGGGCACCTGGAGGCTCCCAGGCACTTGAGGATGACGCATGCACAGTGCTCTGGTTCAGCCGTAGAAAGTACGCTGGGGCACACGGGTTTGCACGCCGCGTTCACCCGCGCGGATAGCGCTCGCGCAGGCGCACTTAACATCACACGCGTAATCGCGCTTTGCGGTTATTCTAATTTTTCTGGAAGCGGCCGAGCTGAGCCCGGGGTCTAAGATGTCCCAGCGACCAGCAGCCAGCAGTGTCCGGCAGATGGGCGCGGCGCATGGCAACCGCGAAGATCCGCGGGCGGAGGTAGGCGACCAGAGGTGGGACCTGGCCCGGGCAAGGCCTGGGGAAGCCAGGGAAGGTCCAGTGGCGGCGCCCAGGGAAGGTCGGATGGCGGCGGCCAGGGAAGGCTCGGCGGCGGCGGCGGCAGCGGCGGCCAGGGAAGCTCGGATGGCAGAGGTCGCCCGATTGTTAGCGGAGCCAGCGGAGGAAGAGGGTCCTGAGGGCAGGCCCAGGCCCAGGTCCAGGTCCGGGATCGTTCCAGGCCTGGCAGCCTTGCCATATCTCCGCCTCCGTCACCCACTGGGCATTTTAGGGATCAATTACCAGCAGTTCCTCCGCCGCTACGTGGAAAACTACCCGATTGCTGTGGGCAGAATACAGGAGCTTGGAGAACGCCGCCGGCGGTTTGTGGAAGCCTGCAGAGCCCGCGAAGCAGCGTTTGATGCCGAATATCAGCGGAATCCTCAAAGGATGGATTTTGATATGTTAGCATTTACTGTAGCTCTGAGTGCATCTGAAGTTATCAATCCTCTGATAGAAGAACTTGGCTGTGATAAGTTTATCAATAGAGAATAGTTTAGTGATGAAACTACTTTCAGAAGAACCTCTACATTCAAAAGTCTTAACACCAACCCTGTAACTTAATTTTTGAACGTCCCAGTATATGAGAACAAAGCAATGCACAGTTTGGAAAACAAGGGACGCTTATGAAAAAGATTCAGAAAAGAAATTGAAAAAAGGTCAAAAGCACTATGACTCCTCTTACGTTGAGTTTCTCATTGATCCAGATTCTTTTCCCTGCATTTTGGAAATGTTTTTGCAAAATTGCTTCACTTAAAAAGTGAAGAATGGTTTTATAAAATTGAGACTTGAGGAAAATTTGCCAGTAATAGAGTCCATGATGATGAAAGGAATCATCAAAAAGCAGTGATAGGAATAAAGGAGTTACTGCCGAGTTATTAGGACTCTGTGGAGAGAACTTGAAATTGTCAGAATATGTGCTCTCTTGTCACAGTTTTTTTTTTGGTGCTCTTTTTGTTCAACAGTTTTTAGTGTAAGATTGGTTTTTGTGTTTTCTGAGGCATTTCAAATGGCAAGCAAAGTGAATATTGTATATGTTGCATGATAAATTATGTACTCAAGAATATTTGAAATTTCTGGATTTTTTTCTTTCAGTTTTTTTTAAATTATTTTTGTAAATCTATTTACACGCCCCCCCCCAAAAATAAAATATACAGTGAAAAGTTTTCCATCCCTGCCCCTCTCCACCCAGTACCTACCACCATTACCCCCATTTGTAACCACAGTACCATCTGGCCTTTTAGTTTCCTTATGTGTACACAAGCAAATACAAACCTGGGTGGTTGTTTTTCATTTCTTCACAAAAGTTGGCATATTATATTTACTTTTTTATACATTGCTTTTGCGTAAAAACATCTCTTGGAGATCCTTCCAAGCCACTACATTTGCTCATTCTTTTTTAGAGCTGCATTTTATTCCATTCTGTGATTATGTTGTAATTTAAGGAGGAACACAATGATGGGCATTTTGGGTTTTGCCCATCTATTTCTAATCTTGTACACATATCACACGGCATGTACACAAATACAGTATTGCATCGATTCTAAAGGCACTTTTCCTATGTTGAAATTGGGGTGTACCTTATAATTGACAGTGTAATACAAGGTTTTCATAAAAATAATGGTGCATCATATGATCGGCAGCTTTTCAGATTCTTAGATTCTGTGTTATATAGAATACCTGTAGGATGAATTTCCAGAAGCAAGAATTCTGTGCCAAAGGTATTCATTTGAAATTTTATAGCTATTGCTAAGTTGTCATCCATACACACACAGTTTTGCATTCCCACCAGCAACTGAAGAACATGGACATTTTCTCACAGCCTAGCCAACACAACAGCCATCAAATGTCTGTATTCTGCCAATCTATATAGTTGAAATATGGTAGATCAGTTTTAATTTGCTTTTGTCTTATAAATTAAGTTAAATATCTTTTCATTTAAAAGCCATATACCCATTTCCATGAATTATCTGTTCATATCTTTCATCCATTTCTCCTGGATAATTATGTCCTTTATTGACTCTAGTAGATATTTAGGTAGTAGTCATATGAGATATGATAATAGCTTATGATGTGAGTTATGAATATTTTTTCCCAGTTTGTCATTTGTCTTTGGTTTTCCTGAAAGCCTTTTGGCACATAGATTTTTACATTTATTTTTGTTTCCTGTTTTAAACCTGCAAGATTTTGAAGCTCAAGGTTTTCTGGTGTATGTGTGTGCTTTCATTGTTCATATTCGAACCTTTGAACCATTTGGAATTTATCCTGATGTACAGTGTGAGGTAAGGATCCAAAATTTCTGTTTTAGATGGCTACCTGGCTTCCCCGACATCAGTTACTAACTAGTCCATCTTTTCCCCACTAACTTTGTTTAAAGATATCCTCACCCAGCTGTCCAACAATGTCCTCTAGACCTTACTCTAGGTGGGACTATCTTTTCCCTTATAAATACTTCAGTATGTGTTTATACAGATAAGGACTTTTTTAAATTATTTTTATCATAGCTAACAACATTAAATTATCATACACAGTCTGTGTGCAGATTTCTCCAGTTGTCTTTAAAATGGCTTTTTACAGTTGGTGCTTTTTATTTTTTAAAGATTTTTATTGGGGAATTGGGGGAAGGGGAACAGACAAGTTGCTGTCATTTTGTTCTTCAGTCTAGTTGTGGAGGACGTTGCTTCACTGGCCCAAGTTGGCACCATCATTGTGCTCTTCCCGGGCGAGGCAGATCAGTCGCCGGCTTTTGGATGGCCGCTCGCGGCAGCTTGAGAGCCAATCATGCTGGCTGCTGGCTACACACGGTAGCCCATGGCAGCCCACTGCAGCAGGGGTTGCAGCCTACGCTGTTGCTGGCAACTCATGGCAGCCCAGCTCCAGGTTGAGTTGCTGTTCAGCATCTTAGCTGTAGAGGGCAGTGTCACTGGCCCTCATATGTGGGATCCGAACCGGGGCCATCTGACGTCCCAAGCCAGCTCTTAACCAATGCACCACTCGGCTGGCCTACAGTTGGTTTTTTTAATCAAAATTCCAACAAGATCCACACATGGCATTTGATTAATAGGCCTCTTAAGTCACATTTAATCTCTAACAGTTCCCCTTTCCATCCTTTTTTGTGTTATTTCAAGAAACTAGGTCAGTGTCCTGAATTTACATTAATAAAATGGCTTAGTTCCATTTTGCTACAATGTACAGCTAAAATAATTGAATTTTAAAGTCACATTTTCTGTGTGGGCATGCAATCAACTTTGAATACAATTAGCTTTATTGGTTTTCATTTGTTTTGCATTTCTAAAGATTGCTTTGTTCTTATTTAATTTTATATTTGTTAATACAACTCACTGGATAGAGCCTCTCCTCAAATCCTGCAGAGGCCTTCAATTTGGGAGGGACCTTAGGGCAGGACTAAGACCAAGTGGAGAAAGGAAGTCAGAGGGACTCCCCCAAAACCTACTTTGAGGCAACAACTCCAGGGCCTCAAGGCAGACACAGTCGCCCTGCAACCAAGGCAGGGAGCCTCAGGAAAAGACCTGGGCTCATCTAAACAAGTTCTGGTCTGGAGTCCCTTTTCCGGGCTCCCAGAAACAAAAGGACAAGGAAAAAAGCCAACAGTTAGTTGTGTGTGATGGTGTGAGCGACTGGTTTACGTGAGTGCGACTAGGTAAGTCTCCTGCATTTGAGTGACCATGCAGGCTCTGTCAGAGTGGGTGTGACAAAGTGACTGTGCAATGAGGTGAGACAGTGTTTCTTGGTGTTACTTGGTGAAAGTTGGTGTGATTAAAAAGGTGCGTAGGATGGGCCGGCCGAGTGGCGCGATGGTTAAGAACTGGCTTGGGATGCCAGAGGGCCCTGGTTCGGATCCCACATATGAGGGCCAGTGACACTGCCCT